AGACTTCCTCAAAACCAGATGCCACATTTTCTTCATATAAGTCAGCTTCTCTGATGATTTGCTGTATACAAATTGAATAGGTATGGTGAAAGGATACAACCCAGACACAAACCTTTCCTGATTTTAAATCATGCAGCAGTGTCGGCTATTGCATTTTCATAACTATCTCTTGACCTATGTACAAGTTCTCCATAATCCCAATAAAGTGTTCTGGAATTCCCATTCTTCTCAAGGTTATCCATAGTTAGATATGAACAGCACAGTTGAATGCCTTGGCACAGTCAATGGAACACAAGTAAACATCTTTCTTTTGTTCCCTCCCTTTAGCCCAGATCGATCTGACAGCAGCAGTGATATCTCTGGTTCCATGCTCTCTTTTGAATCCAGCCTGTACCTCTGGCAGCTCCTTGTCAATGCACTAGGCAACCATTGTTGGATGATCTTCAGAAAGATTTAACTTGCATGTGGTATCAATGATATTATTCTATAATTTGAGTATTCTGTTGGGTCACCTTTCTTGGGAATGGGCACAAAATATGCATTTGTTTTATCAGTTGGCCACGAAGCTGTCTTCCAAATTGCCTTCCAAAGCCAAATGAGTGCTTCTTCACCTTGTTGAAATAGTCACCGGGTATCCTATCAGTTTCCGGTGCCTTGTTTTTGGCTAATGCTCTCAGTGAAGCTTGAACTTCTTCCTTCAGCACCATTGGTTCCTGTTCATTTGCTGCCTCCTGAAATGGTAGAATATGGACCGGTTCTTCTTGGTCCAGTGACCCTGTGTGCTCTATTCATCTTCTTTTGTTTCTCTCTGCATCATTCAGTATTTTGCCTATAGAAACTTTCAATATTGCATTTCAAAGCTTAAATTTTCCTACCCAGATATTTCAGCATAAGATCTGCTGAATGTGTTCTTCCTTTTTGGTTTTCCAATTCTAGGTCTTTTCACATTTCATTATAATATTTGGCTCTCCTCCCTCCCCCTTTTCCCTTTTAGATTTTCTATTTAGCTCTTTGACTACCATTTCTTCCATTTGACAAACTGATAGACAAGTCATGGTCTGCTCTCTTTACATCACATCTAAGGGTAGTCTGGGCATCTTCAAAGGACTCAAATTGCATTCTTTTTAAATGTTCTTGAATTTGGAGACAAAAATAATTCTGATGGGGCAAAAGAATAGCTGTAGGTTTTCCATTGTAAGGTTTTCCAATAAAGTCTCATAGGATAGTTCTTGCTAACCTCAAAGAATGCATAGGTATATTATTCTGGTGGAAACATATGCTTTGGCACAGATTTTTTTTGGCCCTTTATCATTATTGCTGTTTTTAATTTTCTTAAAATCACTTCATAATAAATTCATGTAATCATGCTGTGTCCTTTGAGAGAATCTATCAAGATTACCTCTTCGGAATCCCATAAACCAAGTTGCCACACACTTCTAAGCTGACCTCTCTTTGAATTTCACTAGTCTAACAGATCCCTCATAAAACTACTATTCGGTCTTGACCTTTTTTTTTAAGGCACAGTAAGGAAACGAAGACAAATGTAATACTGAGAAAACTTGTCTGCAGCCATTCACTGATCATGAAGAGGTATTTAAACATGTTTTGTTTTTAATAAGCCTGTGCATACATGAACTGGAGCTCTAATAATAATTTTTTATTTACATTTTTAAGCAGGGATCTCAAACTATCCCAATGTCTTTGATTCAATTTTTCAATGAACATTTTGTAGACTCTCCCTCTTTATACTGTTGTTGTTAATACATTATTTATGAATATATTTGTGTTATATATGCATTTGTAATATATACAAACATATCTGTATGTCGTGTGTACTTGAGTCAATTCTGACACAGTAATTATAGATGATATGACAGAGTAGAATAGCCCCATAAGGTTTCCTAATCTGTAATTGCTACAGAAATGGATTATCACAAAGTTTTT